TTATATGCAAATATAAATGAATAACTTCATTCATCAATTCTGTATTCTAGAGTCTGGTTTGTCCTCATAAAAGGAATTTCCCATGTTTTCACATTACTATTAGGCAAGTCTGTTCATTTTATGACTGTAAATTTTATATTAGGCAGTAATGTATATGTCTATTAAAATTATAAGACCAGAGTATGCTGGTGTACTAATTCTTCTATTGAATTAAAATAATCAAAGTAGCAACTGGCAGAGAAAATTAGAATGTCATACATTCTTTAATATAAAAGCAATTCTACAACCTGTTACATAAAACATGATGTATCATTTCTCTCTATTCTCACAAATATGCAAAACTGCTATATTTAAGCAATTAAATTCAAATAAAATGAGAGTCATCAGTATGACATGTTTAGGAACAGACAGAAATACATATCTAGGAACAGAAAGCAAACACATTGGTTACTTTTTACTGTGACTAAAATCCAAATAAAAATCCAAACAATGATTAAAGTTCTGCAAGGGGCAGAATTTTGTAATGTATATTAATTGTACACAGTGGAATGAATGAGTAGTTGTTTCAGACTTGCATGCAATGCACTTTGATTATTTCCATCCTACTATTAATTCTTCTGTCCTCCTCATTGAATGCCCTCCTTGGTGAAGAAAAATTCAGATGGTAAAGTGTCTAAAGAACTGTTTTCATTAAGCATACCCAAAATTGTGTCTACATAAATCAGAAAATATGCTTCCATTATATCAGAATACCATGGTGTAAACATAGCATGCCCATACCATGAACCATGAATAAGATAGATTGGGTTATTTTTTATTTTTCCTCAAAAACATTTTATATTACTATATCTCTTTTTATCATTCAAATCTGATAGGAAATATTTTCATCCACATTTTGGAGACCAAGAGAATTCAGTCATAATTTTCTTCATACATAAGAACCAATAGTATGACACAATGTCACTTATTTTCTCTTGCAACATCTTCATCAAAAGACAATATTACTCCCTGCCTTGCCCAGTTTTTCCTTTCTACCATACAGAAACATTGAAATATTGAAACAAAACAAACAAAAGAGAAAAAATGTTCAGTACATATATATATAATCAATGCTTAATCTATTCATCAATTTATGCTGATGCAATGGTTTTCAAACTTTCATCACAAGTGAATCAATCCCTAATCAACTTGCTTCCACTTTTCTTTTCAGATTCAATGTATGCTAGCTTATTTTTGCACACATTATTTTTTCCTTTGGTTTGGTCATGAGGCTTGAACTCTGGGCCTGGGCTATGTCCCTCAGCTCTTCAGCTCAAGGTGAGCACTCTACCAATTGAGCCACAGCACCACTTCTGGTTTTCTAGTGGTTTATTGAGATAAAAGTCTCACTGAGTTTTCCTGCCTGGGCTTTGAACCACGATCCTCAGATCTCAGCCTGCTGATTACTTAGGATTACAGGTGTGAGCCACCGGTGCCCAGCATTACCCACATTTTTATAGACCAGTCATGTGTTGCTTAACCACAGAGATAGGAGAAATAAATAATTTTCTCATAGAGTTCATACATGCAAAAATGAAAGATAAGGACCCATTACTTGAAATAGCATTGAGGGATATTGCAACCAAAATATATGAAGTTACTTCTGTAATAACATGGCATACTCTTTTACAGTAAATTTTATATTTACTGCAGAGACATAGCTCTATAATATTGATAGGAAGTATAGGTTGGGAAGTATGCATACACTACTATAATAATTCATGCAACATTAATATAATCATTTGCTACCATTATCAAGTATTAGGTACTGACAGATTTGTGTATACTGTGACATGCAGGGCAAAATTTGCTTATCCCAGTGTGACCACTAATATGTAAGCAATGGATTGCATTGCGATGCTACAACAGCTATTTCACCAGGTAACAGGAATGTTCCAGCTTCGTTATAAACACAAGAATCCACCATGCTCAGTGCAATAAACTGCTGACTCTGATGTCATTAGGCAGCACATAGCTATCTTTACATGTGTATTTCCCTTTTCTATGAGTCATTCTCAGTCTCTTTTCCCTGGCATATTCTCATCTTTAAGATCCTATCTTCAACACAAGTTTGTGCCTGATATTCATATCTACCCTACAGTCTGATAACAAAGGTAACATGAACTAAGCATTTTTCTGCATTGCATCATTGAATGTTACTCTAAAATCTTCTTGATTTTAGGTTCTTTTTTGTGTGTGTGTGCATGTCGGGGGAGGGTTGTGCTCACACACATGCATGTGTACTTCAGTCCTGGGTTTAAGCACAGGGCCTGGGCAATATCTCTAAATTTCTTTTGCTCAAGCTGGCACTCTACCACTTGAGCCACAGCACCACTCTTGGCTTTTTTTGAGTAATTTATTGGAGAGAAGATTTCATGGAGTTTTTCTGCCCTGGCTGCTCTCAAATCATGATCCTCAGATCTCAGGTTCCTGAGTAGCTAGGATTATAGCAATAAACCATCAAACGCCCATCTTTAAGTACTTGGATGAACACATTATTAATGGTTGGAATTCAAGAGTTGTTTTCTGTTCCCTACTTTCTAGATCTGGAGTATAGATAATTTATTTGAGATATTTTTGCTTTGCATATATGATACTTTTGTTTGCATATGGGCAAATAAAATTAACACTTAGCTCATTATGTTATTCTTTTATTTTTTTATTACTATTACTATTATTGTTATTATTAGTAGTCAGTTTTAGGGCTTGAACTCAGGTTCTGTTTGCTGTCCCAGAGCTTTATCGCTCAAGGCTAGCGCTCTAGCACTTTACACCACAGTGCCATTTCTGGTTTTCTTCTGGTTAATTGGAGATAAGAGTCTCATGGTCTTTCCTGTCTAGGCTGGCTTAAAACCATGATCCTCAGATCTCAGCTTCCTAAGTTGTAGATTATAGGTGTGAGCCACCGGCCCCCAGCCCCACTGTTATTCTTTAGTACAACTGAAAAGAATAGTAAAAAGTTAATTAAATAACTAACACATGTAATTCATTTGTGGTTCATCTCCTGCGCATTCCCCCTGTTTATGGCTTCCTGTGTTCTCTGAGTATGTGCTCTGATATGTGGTTGGTTGACTATGTAATTTTAGGGGTGTTTATATTGCCTGTGTTTTGCAGCTGGATTTGGTATTCACAGTGCCTCCCAGATGGGTGTCTACCTCAATTTAATTATCATCCAGCTTATCCTCCCTTCCAACCTCATTTATGAAAATGTTAAATAAGACCAGCCATAATACCTATGTTCCTGAAACACACTCTTCACTGCCTATCTTTGCTTGATGCCTTGTCATTTATCACTAAATCCCTTTAGCCAATTTAAGTCCCAGGAAGTATGTTTATATTAAATCCAGTTTGAGCTAAATTTTAATTAAGATTTCCTGAGACATTTTAAATGATTTACTCTAATCAAATTGATATTTCCTATGACATCAACCCTCCAGTGTGATCCACAAACAAAAAGATGAAGAATTTTTCTGACATGAATAATTCTTTATAAGTGTACATCATTTCAACTCTTTCCATAAATAGTTCTCTTTTCTTTTGCCTTTAGGTCCTGTGTCTGTCATCTACATATAAATCCCAGACTTGTGTTATGAAATGTCTTCCTTTGTGGAAGCCACATCTGTCCACCTAAAAATATCCAAGCAAATTATTTAGCTTCATTATTGGCTGACAAATTTCCTTTGTCTTCTCAATTATTTCTATTACTGATATTCCTACATGCATTATATTCTAAATGCAAAATATAATAAAAAGGCAGAAAGAGAATACACACCATGCATCACCTTTAGCAAGCAAGCTAGAGTGTATGAAAACTTTATTTGCACTTATTAGGGCCATTAAACATAAACTTTTATAGGGCTATTAATTACTATGCATCTAAACTGAAATTTCTAGGCAAAGTCATGATTTATTGAATAGCAAGCACCAAAGAATTTGTCAGATTCCTGGAGGAAGCTGTACATGATAAACAAATGCTACTGAATAAATGTAAAATGGGCTGAAATACATAAGAAAATGTAATTATAAACTGGAAAATAACTGTACAGGTCAATTTACGCCCAAAACATGTTTTCTTTATTCAAAGGAAAACTTTCCCCATGTGTGAAATAAGCCATTTTCCTTCTGCATTCATCATTGTGCTGTAGTGAAAACAGAAAATTCTGGGAATGTATGTAAAATGCACACCATTCATTACATTAGAATGCACATTAGTGAATGTATATGAGTCAGGAAGTCCAAGAGTCTTATTTTGCTTAACAAATTTGCTTCACTTCAATGTGACTTCTGGAATTGACAATAGTTACTCTCCTATCACACTCCATCATTCAAATATATTCTATTAGACACCAATTGCTTGGAAAGGATTTTGAATATGTGTTTACCACCTCTATTCACATTTATTATTTTAGAGGCTTGAAATAGATTCTTTTCTCTACAAAACTTTTTCTTGGGCTGCACCTGCCATGATATTCTCTAATGAGAGATGCACTTATTTGTAGTGTGCTAGGCCTTATCGGTCCATTGTAAGGCAATGTGCCCCACATAATACAGAAAAGCATTATAAATGTATGGCCTTAAGACAAATAGATGGATAGCAGCAATAAACATAAGCCTTTTCTATTTTATTTATCCCCTTGGTTTTATGTGTTTTTGTATCAAGGACAATATTACATTTCCTATAGGGCTATCAGATTGTTAGCCGTTTCCTCTTTTATATTATTAAATATAAACAGTCTTCAAGGTCCAACAACATTTTTCCTTATGAGTCTCATGAGAAAAGGCAAACACCTCAGTTCTGTGATTTCTTAATTCAGGAAAGACAAAGGCATACATGCCGAGAAGTCTTAACTTATGCTTTGTCTTTGGACATAAGCTTCTGGTTTTTTTTTAATGGAGAATGACAAACAGTGGTGCAAAGTTGAATCCGAAGAGGATGTTTATGTTGCGATTTTCAATTCCAGCTCACTGCAGTCGACGCAGATGAAGGGTCAAATGGAGAGATCACGTATGAAATCCTGGCTGGGGCTAAGGGAGACTTCATCATCAATAAAACAACAGGGCTTATCAGCATCGCTCCTGGGGTGGAATTGATAGTCGGGAGTACTTACGCGCTGACGGTCCAAGCAGCGGATAATGCTCCTCCTGCAGAGAGAAGGTAATTTATATTAGATCCAATACTGTCTTTTCATTGCTCCTGTTTAACCCCATAATTAAATTTAAGAAACTCAGCCAGCATTCTTTTATCCTATAAACAACTAAATTAGATCAGAAAATCAGAGGGTGAATTCTCAGGAACTGGATATTGTTATTTGGTTAAATTTTGGGAAGAGGAAAATAAGTCAAGATTAAGCCACAAAATAATTAACTCTGATTTCACAGCAGAGGCAGGTCTGCTCTGGTGCAAGAAATGGGTAATGTTAGAGGCATGTTTTCTACGTATTACTGAATGGCAATTGGCCAGAAAGTGAGACAAAGGCTATTTTCTTCAAACAAAGTCACAGGGGTGTGAGCAGCATGTCATATCTCAGGGTTTTGGAGACATCTCTCAGTTACTAAGAATTGTTAAAATACATGTGTAACACAGTATATAATATCCACACATGTATACATGCATATAAAGTACATATATCCTGCATATTTTCTATTCTCCAGTTGAAATGTATTAATTTATTGGGTTTTGACAGACTTTAGTACCCAATAAAATATAAATGAATATCTGCTGGTCAGACTTGTGAGATTATTTTTTTCTTCACAATGCATCTAAGGGTTTGTATGAACATTGGATAATTACCTCAAATCTTTGTTCAGAGTAATCTACTATTTCTTCATGTGAGTCTGTTTAAGAACTCCACTTTTAATGTTTTATTAAGTGATACTCTTTCTTTTAGTGACAGTGGAGAAACACACATCTTAATTATCACTCTAAACATGTGCAAATACATCACTATATTAAAATCCCATCAGATCCATAAAAGACTTTACATAATTATAAGACTTTTAGACTTTATGTAATTATAAGACTTTTATATAACAGCCAAGTTGCCTTTTTATAAGTAACAATTCACAATTCCAACTGCAATATTTGGAGACTTTATACAGTCTCTCCAGTTTTTTGTAATATCACACATTTGGATTTTTGGCAAGTTGACAAGTAAAGAATACCTATTATTTTGTCCTTGTTATTGTAAGTAAACGGGAATATATTTTCTCTATTTAAAAGCCAACATTGTCATTTTTTCTATTTTTATTAGTTTATAATAGTTGTAAAAGAGGTTTCATTGTGATATTTTCATAAATTAATTCAATGCCCCTCCAACTCCCCGTGTTTCATGAAACACATTCAGCAGGCTTTGTTCTATTTTCACACATGTATAGATTACTTTGACTACATTCTGTGCTTCTCTGTTTGCAAATTATGTAATTTTTCTACTGATATGGTGACTCTAGGTCACTATTACTCTACATTTTCTATCACATAGTAAATGTAAACCCTTTTTGCCATTGGAAAACATCCTAGTTTGTACTGCAAGATATTGATACTGACTCATTTTCTCCATCTGCTTATCTCAATACAAAATATGGAATGGTTCCTCTCTTAATTCACAGTTATATTTATTGTATCAAATATTGCCTATGTATTTAGATTCATTTCTGGTCATTTATCATTATGAGACATAGTCAGGTGAGATATATTTTTCTCTCTGCAAAATGACTCTAGTGCCCTTGTACCAAATAACTTGGGAAAGGCAAAGCAATGGAAATGACAATTGTGTGCAATACCACTATTGGAGCAGGTTGACAGAAATGTCTTTTATCAAGCAAGTAATTGTCAATAGTGGGGAGATGTAATTATCAATAAATAATAAATAAGTCATAAATGTTGAAATTTGATAAAAATTGGCTAGGAGCCATCGAAAGCAATGGTAACAAATTTCATAATATAGAAATTTTTCCATATTTTTTGTGGGTTGACAACTTGTGTTTACAAACTTCAATAAGAATGACTCTCAAAATAAAGGCAAGCCTGGCAATGGCGGCTCAGGCCTGTAATACAAGCTACTCAGGAGGCTGAGATCTGAGGATCAAAGCCAGCCTGGACAGGAAAGTCCGTGAGACTCTTATCTCCAATTAACCACCAGAAAACCAGAAGACTGTGGCTCAACTGGTAGAGTTCTTGCCTTGAGCTGAAGAGCTGAGGGCTAGTGCCCAGGTCCAGAGTTCAATCCCCACAACAAAGAAAGAAAGAAGGAAAGAAATAAAGAGAAAAAGAAAGAAAGGAAGGAAGGAAGGAAGGAAGGAAGGAAGGAAGGAAGGAAGGAAGGAAGGAAGGAAGGAAAGAAGGAAAGAAGGTGATATAAAATAATGAGTCAGGGAGATTAGGAGTATTTTACAGCCACAATAGTGTGGTTTTTTTTTTTTTTTATAAAGGAGAGACAAAAAGTGCAAAACTAAAATATGTTCTAACATAAATTAGGATATTATTTGAGTTAATGGTACATTTAAGTCATTTAACTTAATTCAGTTAAATTGAGTATATACTTATTTAATTCTGTTATGAATACTTAGGTATTCATGATTGCTTAGAAAATTTACCTTGGTTCTAATAAAGTTCTGACAAAAAGATTGATACATGATATAGTATCATTTTAGTATTCCTATTTTTTTCTCACAGAATCTAAGGCAGCTTTTAATTAACAATTGATTAAATAGTTCTCTCTCCAGTTAAGTAATTGTTTTGCCTGTGAATATATAAATGTTATCATACATAACATTGCATCCTACACTTAACATTAAATGACTCAATAAATGAACAAATAGATAATAAACAAATGAATCGTCATGAATTTTAAGAAAAAACTAAACTATGTTGAAGAATAATTGAAGTGGTAACATTGACCAGGATGCATCATACTTACAAGCTGATTTGTGCAGTTAAAATCCCTATATACAAGTACTTAAGAATAATTTAAAACACAACAACCACCACAACAAAAATACTGTGCTTCCACAAATCTTCTTTTGCTGGGGAGGCAGTGGGTATATAAGATTGGTGGGATGGTATCTCCACATTCCTGTCATCAGCTGGCACCACAGTGGAATCCAGGCTTGTGATCAGAGATAATACAGTGCAGAAAGATTTGAGCCGACACTGTAATCAGAAATCCAAGTGAAGGAACAAGAGCCAAGCTTAGGAGACATGAGAAACCAAATCATTGTGGGAGTTTGAAGGGAATGAGGCATTTGATCATATCAATGAGCAGCTCTAAAACTAACACTTATTTTCCATGTATTTCCTTCTCAAGTATTGATTCTTCTTTTATTAATTCCTTCCCCTTTAATTGTATAGAACTTGTAGTTTAGGGTTTATTACTCTGAATACACGGGTGTTCTGGGCCTGTTTTGAATGTAAATGCATCTGGCATACACTTCCCTCTTCCCTGTAATAACCCTTGAATGTTTTTTGTTGTTATTGCTCATTTGTTTGCTGGTCTATCTATTGTTTGTTTTTCTTGGCCTCCTATGATGGTTTGTAGTCTCTGCTTCTATAGATTGTTGTGTTGTTGTGTTTCTAAAATATAGAATAGAACTTGTGAGCACAAGCTCTAAATACAGCTTATATAGCATGCTATTTTTAAGAGACAAAGGGAAATAAAATCACAGTACCTGTAGTATTTTAAGCTTACAAGGAAAAACCATAGAAATGCCTATAACCTCTGCCATTCAAACAATGTGGAAATGCAGAAATGAAGCAGATCTATTGTGGCACATATTGACATATTTAATAGCAAACTGCAAGGCAGAGTTTACAGGCCTCTCAAAGCCATCAACACCTTCTCAATTATTATTACATATCACTATTACAATATTATTATTTATTATTGATTATTATACTGGTTATTATAATACTGGAGAAATTACATCATTTCTAAATTCAAATTAGACAAAATGTGCCTTTCCAACTCTGCTTTATCCATCTTTTTATTCTTATAATCATTGTTTCAACCTTTCATTCATGATATAAATTATTGAAATTTTTATTTCATATTCTGAATCCAATATTTCAAATAATTTATAGATTCAATAAGATAACATCCTTTGTTACAACCTGAGATATTTCTATATTTAAACCAATTGGGTAAGTTAAAATTTTCTATTTGTTCTTATAGATGCAAGCAGATAGAACAGGTGGATTCTGAATTCAGCCACCTTGCTGTTTACCTTATCTTCTGTTGTTGATTAATTTTATAACTTTAATACAGTCACTTAATATTTAAAATGTTTTAATTTACTGTTTGTAAAACTAGTCAGTCCGGTTAGAAATTTTCAAGTGTCTTTAAAGTTATAATATTTTCTGTTATATATGCAATGTCTTTTGTTCCACATTGATATTTATTATACAATGAGAAAAAGTGAATACTTTAGGATTCTCACTGATAGAAATGAAGATTTATCTACATCATACTGATGATATTACACAAATAAAATTTGGTTAGATAGATGCTCGGTTTTATGCATTTAAGACTCTATAAAATTTAAATATGAAATGCTCACATAAAGTATTTTTATGTACCTAGTCAGTGCCCTGTTTTATTATGTGCTTAAATAATGCTGTTGAATTACTACTATTTATAATAGCTTTATCATTTTATTGTTAATACTATTGATATTCAGTTTTAGGAATGTCATTTCTGACATTACTCAGATAGGGGGAACAGAAAATATATGTTGTTCAAAAGCAGCATCACTCAAGAATAATAATTTGTATTTAAATACATTTTAGAGAGCTGAAAGTGTTGAAGAACAGGCAAGACCTTGAAATCCCCTCTTTCCCAAGTAATGCTAACATTTGAGTGCAAGAGGTAAAAAGCGTGTAATTACCAATCGCAACCTTGACTTATTTGAAAAGAAGCAGAGGGAAAAAAAAAGTAAAAAAAGCTGTAAACCAAATTTCAGTGTTCATAATCTATGTCTCGTTTAAACACTTTTAAGAGTATGAATGATTTATTAACTTTAATTAATTCTAGGAAAAAATTCACGTGACCAAAATACTAAATCTTGATGTGAGTTTTTTGTACTTGATAGGTGAATGCTCTTACCATAGATCTATGTATACCTCTAGCCCATACTGCCACTGGCTACTTTGGAGACAGGTTGTAGCTCCTTGCTAAACCATGTCTCTGGGCCAGATCCACCAATATTAGGCCTCCTGTGTAGCTAAGGTTAAAGGTATGGGCCATTGCATCCATCTTTTTGATGAGAAGGGGTCTCTAGAACGCTTCTACCAAGGCCTGAAAAGAATCCTCTTTTCTGAGTTATTATCTTCCCAATCTCAGTCTCTGATGTAAGTAGAACCAAACAAGGAAGCCCCTGGTGCCTGGGCAGACCATGGCTTTTATTTCAAGCATTTAATGACAAGTTTTATTCTACTTGAAGAAAAGTCTAATCCCCAGATAGAAATAATAACACATGATTTTAAACAGAAACATACACATACAATTTTGTGAAAATGATGTTGAGAGGAAATGGTGCTGTATTTGTGTAATATATATATATATGCGTGTGTGTGTGTGTATATATATATATATATATTAATCTCAGTATAGAGGATAGCCTGTAAAATAGTAAGTCTTGTTCATAGATTTGAGTTAGTGTCTCTTCTCTGTAAACCTCTGGCATCTTAGATCTTGAGCTTTCATTTTTTTAAGACAATTTCACTGCTCGACAATACCAGCTGATTCATTAATACTAATGATATTTTTTCTTATTATAATAGAGTTGCTTCATATTCTACAAGGAAAGATTTCCTGTCATAGAAGGGTCTAACTAAATCTAAATTTTTATTGTCATGTTATAATCTTTAAAAGAGATGGAAACAATTTTATTTTGTCCGTATTTTGTGAGTATTATCTCATGATCTTGAATCTTGACATACATGCACATAAAGCTATTAATATCAGCAATTAAATTAATGAAAGAGAATCCATAATATATTATTTTGTGCTGTTTTAATCCTTACTCTCTCTGTTGATTTCCTGAGAAGAGAGCCTGAAACACAGTTCCCATTACCAGATGGTTAGAGAACATATTTTTACCTTAAAAAAATCATAACAAGTATTAAAAATAAAGTCAGAAATCAAGTCCAGATAATTTGTGAGCTCTTTATATAGTCATCCTTTACAATTTTATGATTAATCTAAGTAGGAAAAATAGATGCAGTAGGGTTTTTTATTCCCTTTTACTAGATTAATTTCATAAACATTTTATTTTGGTGATGGTAATTTTTTATGTTTTATCCTTCCAGGTTTTTACTGTTTCCTATAAAATTGGCGAATGCTTTAGCCTACAAACCCAAGAAATGAATGAAGGATGCATTCAAACTTTAAGTGTGATACAGCCTTTTGATATTGTGTTCTCTTCTCATTCTCTGCAGGCACTCCATCTGCACAGTGTACATTGAAGTACTTCCTCCAAATAATCAAAGTCCTCCCCGCTTCCCACAGCTGATGTACAGCCTTGAAGTTAGTGAAGCCATGAGGATTGGTGCTGTTTTGTTAAATCTACAGGTAAGCTCCCTGGGATGTTCATGAGTGTGAAGGGGATATAAGGCGGGGGACATCCGTGCTTTCTTATATTCTATTGAATAAAAATTCCAACTGGAAAGAAAAGCAAAATGAGAGGGATGGAGGGTTCCTACCATTCATTTATTCTATTGATTTCCACAATTGAAGAATTCATGTTTTGCTGTCAGGGATTAGCTGCGATCATTACAGGAGAGAATGCAGGGATTGGAAACATGCAGTGGAATATGTTTTTGCTTTGCAAATGAACAGTCAAGAGCTGACTGTAATTTTCTGACTTGGATGTCTGTACACAGCTGGATTTATTTTTATTACAGTTTTGGATTGGAGGAAAGAAAGAAACCTTCCACTCCAACTCTGATGTTAGGCATTCAGATTCATAGGTAGATATTACTTTAATTCTATAACGATGGGGAAGTTTTATAATGTTGTTCCTCAGCCTCCTCAGGAAGAGGCTTGGAATGACTTTCCTCTGGTAATTTGTTGCTTCCCCCTAATTTACTCAAGAGTTTGCTCTTGTTGATTATTTGCTATTAGAACACATGGGAACAACATTTTTTCAAAAATATTACTAACAATAAAAAACTGAAATTTGTGGTGCTATTGACTTATACTTGTAATCCTAGCTACTCAGGAGGTTGAGATCTGAGGACTAGTGTTCAAAATCTGCCTAGGAAGAAAATACCATTGCCACTGTTACTTCCAATTAACCAACAGAAAGGAGACAGTGGAAGTGTGGCTCAGGGTAAAGAGCACCAGCCATAACTGATGTGTATTCAAAAGTGAAAGACCCCCAAGTTCAAATTCCAATACTAGTGTGTTTGCCCGCATGCACACACACACACACACACACACACACACACACACAACTAAAAGAGTTTGAAAGACCCCAGCCTTGTGCCAGTGGCTCATGCCTGCGAGCCTAGCTACTCAAGAAGCTGAATTTTGAAGATCGAGTTTGAAGCCAGCCGGGACAAGAAAACTTGTAGGAATCTGATCTCCAATTAACTATTAAAAGAGCTGGAAGTAGAGCTGTGCTCAAGTGATAGAGCTCTAGCCTTGAACAAAACAAAATAAAACAAAATTAAAAAAAAAAACAAAAAAAAAACACGTCAGTACAGTGCCCAGGCCCTGAATTCAAGCTCCAGGATCAGCACAGGTACTTGTGTTCACACACACACAGAGGATTGACAGATGTCAATGACCATATTAAATGTCAGAAATGATACTGTTTCTTCAGAAGGGAGAAAATAGGTTGATTCATCTGATGAAACAGAAAACAGAAAGAAATTAAAACAAAATAAACTTTTCATTTCTAAGGTCCAGGTAATAAAATTATATATGGGTTATAAGTAAAATTTCCTTGACTGTGTTTTCTTATGCAATTTAATTTTCTATGAGGTAAGACATATTACTTATAAAGTACTGTAGATTTTGTTTCAATAAATCTCAGAAAGATTTAGTAGCCTTATTATTGGAGAGCTACCTCTGCTCTAAAGATGAAGAGGCATTGGCCTTTTCTTGTCTCACATTTCTTGTGTACAAAAGTTGAAGAAAAAAAAGAAACAGAACTCCACTTGGAATGGTATTTCTATTCACCCTTTGTGGTGCTGGCAGGAGTGAAAGAAAGGGCATCAATTGCACTGCCAATCTCTATTAGAAGAATTAGAGTGACACCTGAACAATGTTTTTCAAAGCCTGCAACCACCCACTTTTGTTCATGAACAACTTAGAAAGAATTTAAACTATTGACCTAAAATTTGAAAAGCATCCATCAAATTACCTTCCAAAGACTTTTTGTAGTCAGAGAACACATGAGAGACACTCTGGTTGCCCAGAGGCCTCTCTCCAGTGGTATTACCTACAGCCAAGGCAGTACTTGCTTTCGAGTGACCCAGAAATACATAGAAGACAAGAAACTGCCTTCAAAATTATCTGCTTTGATTGACATGGTTCTTTTCAGACCACAATTCTTGTTTTGTTCCTTATGTATGTTCCATTTATTTGATCCGCAAGTTACTTGAGGGTCTGTGAATTTTTTCCCCTCTCTATTAATACTGCCTTGTAGGCTCTGAAGTGATGGCATTCCATAGGAAAAAAGGGTACCCTACCTCTGCTTTCTTGGGCCTCTTCTTTTGATGAGAACTAGTTTTGATTGTTTTAATTGCTTTCATCCAGGATTGGTCAGATCTTACTTAAAATTTTGACTGTATTTATTCTTGACTTAGCAGTAAAGCCTGTAATAATGTTGTACAATGTTGTCAAATAGCACCAGAGAGCTAGCTATCGATGCTTTCTAAGTCTCTGCTTGACTTTGCTCAAAGTGTGCATAGGTATTCCACAGACATTAGTAAATGCCCCCCCAAAAAACCCCAGCAACAACAACAAAAATTACTGTCTTCAACTTCTGAGATGGTTGCTTAGCATTTGTCAACACATTTGAGACATTGAACTAATTTTTTTCAATTATGAAATCAATCAAGTATGGGAACTCTATAACAGGCTCTTTGTGTCTTTGCATTTTTAGCTAAACACACAGACATATAAATGTACACATACTAAAGTTAAAGCAAGGCTATCAATCAGGATCATATGCTGTAGTCAAGTACATGTTACCATTTTTGAACTTGTAAGAAAATTATTTCTTTCCAGATTGTCTGTATGTGTATCATGTCATCATCAAAGCTACTAGCATAGTCATCTTTTTTAGAGATAAAATTACCCTTAATCATCATCATCACCCTTATCATTCCCATAAAATAAAAATGGCTAATATTTAATAGGTACTTAATAATTGACTGCTATTTAAAGTCTTACTTTAAATTTTACTATTTCAATAAGAAGAGCTTGAGAGATCACTTTTAAGCTGCACACCCAAAAGGAATATCCCCCCTTCTGTTTTGTTGTTGTTGTTGTTTAATGATTTCCATTTTCTTTCAAAATGATGAAACTTTTATCAAGGAAAATTTTCTAACAATAAATAATAGCATACATTCAAAATCAGTTGATTAGGCAGAGTTTGATGAATCAGAATTTTGAACACGTTTTTCTTAATTGTAGATTTTTTGTCTTTACCATATTATATCTTGATTATTTTTATGATTTTGTTATCAAGTTTTCACTTACCAATTGTAATAGGTTAACGTGCTTAAAAATAGTTTTAGCCCATTATAAATATATGTATATATATATATATGCACTGCTCTCGTTTCTCACATTTTACTAGACTTTTGTTATTTTCATTGACATGTACTTATTTGTGAAACTGAGTGGCAGTGAAAGCCATTACACTCTATGTATGTCATTGTTGATTTATAAAGGAAATAAAAATAAATATAGTACTAAATGACAAAGGGATTAAACAACTGTTTTTGTTGTTTTTACAGGTTTACTTAAGTAATTTGTGAAAAAAATCACCATAAACAATAATATGTAGAATCTATATGTAGATCTCAATGCCAATAGCATTGCTATCTCTCTTTTCATGTCTTTGTTCTTTGTCTTTTCCATGTGCTGGGATTTAATTCAGTGTGCAAGTTCTTGCTTAGGTTTCTTACTCATAGGTTGGGCTCTACCCCTGGAACCACACATGCAGCCTGGTTTTCAGCTGAGTAATTGAGGTCACTATCTCCCAGATTTTATTGATGAGGCTGCCTTCAAACTATGATCCTCCAGGTCTCAGCTTCCTCAGCTGGAAATACAGGCATAAGCCCCAGGAGACTCCGCTCTTGGAAAAAGGCAATTGAGATAACATGTAAATGACATAGTGCTGATAAAGAAAAGAATTAGTTCATGTTAGTTATTTTAATTATCCTACAAGAGAAAAATAACATTTTTCTTATATGAGTTAACACATAAGATATGTGTGACTAAAGTTGAGGAAGAAACTCTGGAAACTTGGAATACCACATAGGTAAATAAAATGTCAGAAAAAAATAAAATAAAATGTCAGAGTATAATGACAATAGGTATATTCCATAGATGATCCTTCATTACCTTTACTGGTTCCACTGAAGAAAAATGACCACTTATGATTTAGTAAATGATATCACATTCTAGAAACCAAGATATAGATGTCAAGGAAATCATTATTTTAATGAAATTATCAACCTAAAATTTTAATAGGACTTCAGTAATTACAGAGAGCCTTGAAGTTTCCCTAACTTCAATGCCCCATAAAAAGAGGGAAACAACTTTTCAATGCAGGCAGAAAACTTTTGCAGAGGTCAAATTCCAGGTACTCTCTTCACACATCCAATCCTACAGTCTATGAGCTTGCCCCTGTCCAGTACTGCCTTTCTGAACCACTGATGTTTGTTAAGTATCTTCAGCTTGCCTTGGAACTACCAGTAATACTTTTAATAGCTAAAGCTAGCTAGATATTCTCTTTCTTTCTAAACTTAATTTTATTATTTTGGTTATGGTTTACCATTGTTTTTAAGAGAGAAGGAAAATGTTACAGCCGCTGTCAATAAATATTTTACTAAGTCCATTGATTCTGGGAAGATTTAATTTAGCCACTGTTTTGGAATTCTGGTTACATCGTACAGTGAACTGAGTGACGTTGCTGGTTTTCCTGGCTTCTTTCTGCTAGAAACTGCAATCTCAGGAAAAGTAGTTCAAAGACAAAAAACAAGAGAGTGTAGAAATTAGCGAGTCAGACCAAAGTGTGAATGTTACCATCTCTGGTAACTGAAGGCAAAAATAAACAAACCATTCATTACTTGAATATAAGTGTAGAAATAGTTCATCTGCTCCTCTATGTTTTCTTTTATCTTTTTGTATTTTTCTTGTGTTTTAAATAATAATTTCAAATCCTTAGAATTTAACCTATGCTCCAAAGGGAATTACTATTCACAGTCCTGAAGAAAACTTCCTGCTGCCTTGATCTCCCTACAGAATCAATTCTTCTCCAGAATGGTTTTAATTAAAGGCAAGCTAACTTATAACAGGCCTCTCTACAGTCTCAGGTCTTTTTGGAGGTG